CTTGAAACTACTCACTCGCCTCCTCTCTCTCTCTCTCTCTCTCATCTCGTTTCGTTATTTATCTGCGGTATCGCGACACATCGTAGGAACGTACGGGGTTGGTCGATCGGCGATCAAACGCGCGACGGTAAAAAAAAAAAAAAAAAAACGAACGGGGAAGACGCGAAATTTTGACTCCGGTGCCGAAAAAGATGTGCGTGTGTCCCTTAAAATCTAACCGTTTCGACCTTCTTCGAACTTCTGTACTACTCCACCCTTCGTATTCCCCCCTTTCCCCCGAGTTTTTTTTGTTTTATCTTCATTTTTCTATACAGCGCCAAAGATATACATACATACATACATTACATACATACATATATATGAGGAAAACCAGCCACGTGCCGCGTGCCAGCGATGCAACCGTCCGCGCCTCCTCTTGCAATAATTTATGTACAATTTTACAACCTACGACGCCGCCGACGATATAATTTTTTTTATTTTCTTATAGTTCGCCTTTAAATACACGAATAGGACCTAGACATCGTTAATTTTTTTTTTATCATCATTATCATCATCATCATCATCATCATCATCATCATCATCATCATCATCATCATCATCATCATCATTATCATCATCTTTACAACTATACTAACGAAATCTAAACGTTCAATTTTCATTTTCACCACACTAGGAATAATAAATTTTGCCGTATCGTTAGTATACCTTTATAGAAATATGCTTACAAAAATAGAATTTAGCGAGGCGCCGAAAGTGCGTCGCTGCCGGGCGCGGGCGAGTTTATTAGGAATTTTTTTTTTTTCGCTCTTCGTCCCCTTGTTCTTTTTCGTTTTTTTCTTCTTCGTTTTCTTTTATTTTTCTTTTCTTTTTTTTTTGTTCGTCTTCTTCGTTTTGTCTCTTATGTTTTAATCTTATATATGTCCGAACGATTCCGAAAGAAAGTAGCAGACCCGTGACACGGCGTTGACAACCCCCTCCCCTGTTATTTTTTTACGCTCGCCGAAAGAAACGTTAACCATACGTCCGTTTTGCGGTAATTTTCTTTTTCTTTTTTCTTTTTTTTTCCTTTTTTCCTTCTTCGTCGTCCCGAATCCACACCCCTAACGTTCCACCCTAAAATTTTCGCGGGAAACCGTGAAACGTCGTCCATTTAAATCACCGGCGTTCACCGTCGCGCCGATCGCCGTTCGTTCTATTTATCTCTCTCTCTTCCCCGTGCAAGTAATTTAGCGTGTGAATCTTCTCCCTCGTTTAACCTCTATACTCGTGCATTCTCTCGCGCATACCAAGCACACTCGTGCACCACATCCTTTCACCGTTTTTTCCTTCGTTTTCACAATTTTCTCACTTATCGCGCGCAAAATCGCCATTCTCCCTCGCGTTCACCGTTTTCCTCTCGCGTCTTTACCGGTTTATCAATCGTTCGAACTCGATTCTCTTCTGGCGCACACTCAAACCCCATTCATTCCCGTTTCATTCGGCTCTCAAACGCATTCGCACGATTCGCAATCACGCACGTTTATTCACTCTCGAATCGATCTCTCTCTCGCTCTCTCTCTCTCTCTTCCTTCCTCTCTCTCTTCACATTTTTCTTTCGTTCTGTCTTTCTCCTCTCTCTCTGATCTCATCTCTTTTTTTTTTTCTTTTTGTAGAGTTTCCCAAGAACGTATATATATGTGTCTCAAAATTGTGAACAACTGAGTCGGTTTTTCGCTGTCGTTTACAATGTACGTACAATATAACGATAATTAATGACAATCAGAAATACCATTAATCGCCGTAGTAATAATAATCATAATGGCAATCATAGGAATAATGATAATCATAATAACGGTTACAATCGTCGCACTTCGTTTTTTTTTTTTTTTAATTAATAATCGTTTGCCTCTTGATTTTCTTATTATTTCTTTCTCTTTTTTCAATCTTTCTTCACGGATAGATCAATGATAAGAAACGAACGTTACTAAGGGAAGGACGAATAGACCCGTTTCCCGTTTTGATCGGGGAACGGTTTACATTTTTGTTTCCTTTTCGCTTTTTCTTTTTTTTTTTTCTTTTTACCTCGCAATAATGACAAGTGACGGGTGACTGACAATCGTAAATCGCAATAATAATAATAGTAATCGTAATGATAATCGTTATAAAGATGCAATTTGTCATTCTTTTTTTCATCATTTTCTCTCTCTTCTTTTTTTTTCTTTATGTTTTCGTATGCACAATAATCTCTTTTTTGTCCTCTCTTATTCTCTTTGTTTCTTCTTTTTTTTTTTTTTTTTTTATTCTCTTTAAATCATCCACGTGCACAATCTCTCACGCGCGCTCCCTAAACTTCAAGTTAACATCATCATTTAGACTCGTCATTACAATATTACATTATTAGATTACATTATATCATAATACGCTAGCGTTTATTCAATAAATTTTACATACTTTGATACGCAGTATGATGGTTTCAAAAACGGTCATCGGCCAACCAAATTTTGTTCACACATCAATACACCTACGCTCAGTAGTCGAAGTAATTTGTACTTGTAGCCATATATTATAAATATTTTTTAGTAGTTCGGCCCCACTCTATTTCTCGCCTTTTGCTAAGTTAGTTTCATTTTTTTTTTTCCCCCTTCTTCTTTCATTTCACAACTTTTCTTGTCTCCCTTGTCCCATTCGGTCGCTAGTGTTTTCGAGGCCCTACACATTTTTTTTTTTTCTTTTTGATACGAATATTTAAATATTACTTTACCACCGTTTTTTTCTTTCTCTCTTTCTACCGTTTTCATTTTCGCATTCTCTCATCACTCTCGTCCTCGCTTTTTCTTCTCTAGTTCTCACGCACACCTCAATTTCGCTCTTTTGTCAATTGCTCGAATTCTCTCTCTCTCTTTTTCTCTCTCTTTCTCGCTCTCACTCTCGCATTCGACATTCTTTGTGTTCAAAATTTTTTACAAAAACACGACAGCGATGCGCCTTCGTCTACATCGTTCTTTCGTTAGCTATCAATCTCTCTACATTCCACCTCGTTCACATTTTTTTTTTCTCCTCTTTTCCTCATTCTTCTCTCACTTTTTTTTTATTTTGTTTTGTTAAGCTAAAACCTTAAATAGTATCGAGATATCGTTGCCAAAAATATATAAAAAACCCATAATCGATTTTTTTCTCGAAATCGAAACAAGCGTGCTCCGGTCGAAATAGACAAGGACGCCGAATCGCGTGATCTCGGAAACGGATTTTACTTTTTCTTCGCTCTCTAAATGCTTTTTCTTCTTTTTTTTTTTACATTTTACTAGTCGCTTTTTAGTCTGTACTCTTTTCTTTTTTTTCGTTTTTTGCTTATTTTTTTTTTTCATCTGCCTCGAGTTTAGCCGAAATCCTCCGAAAATATATATGTATAACCTTTTTTTTTTTTTCTTTTCTCATAGTCGCTTCCTTCGGGCATATTCTTTATCTATTTATTTCCTCTTTAGGTAATTTTTTTAATTTTAATTTTTTTTTCCATTATATTATTATTTTTTTTTTTTGGCCAGGAAGAAGAAGGAAACTATAATTTCGGTCATCGAACGCGTCACGGAGAAAAATATTTACAAGATGATTATCCGCGATCGAGTCACGAAACGTATTCGATCGATCTTCTGTCCTCGGTATTTTTCTCCGTGCACCCCGTATCCGGCGCCCATGGAATTTCGAGCTCGCATCGAGATCGGGGCGCGGTCACCGGGCGACCGAATCACCCCCAAGAAATTTACAATAAATTTTGTCTCTCTTTCCCCTCTCTTTCTCCCCTTTTATTCTCTCTCTCTCTCTCTCTCTCTCTCTCTCCTCTCTCTCTCTCTCTCTCTCTCTCTCTCTCTACTACTACTACTAC